AAATGTCATAGAATATATGGATGCTTGGTGGGCACTGCCATTCAGCACATCAAGCTACAATAATAAAGAATCCTCAAATACTATCATAGATGGCGAAGCTAAACATTACCCACATAAAGAGCAGTAAATGGAACTAGATAGAGCTGGCCTTCTTTTAAGCCATAACATATCCTACTTTTGCAGAAAGCCCAATGTTACTGTTGGATAAAACTAACAGATTTACTAAAGTATCATTTAACACAAAAGGAAAAAAAAGTGACCTAGCCTCCAAAACCAGTGAAACCAGGAAAGAAGCTAAAATGTCTCCTCCCATTGCTGGTATTAGCCCAGTGGTCCAAACAACTCAATTCTATTTTCTTGGTCCACAGCAGCAGCATGTGGGGCACCACAATTGGCATATGTGATGAACAGTGACGATCCGTTACATGAGATGCTACACGGCCTGACTTTATCTTAGAAAGGCATGGCCTAGGAGACAGTATTCTGGCAGCTGGGCTAGATTTTCGTAACCCAAGTTGCACTCTCTTACCATTATAACAACGCTATCTTAGTAGCCTGACCACATAAAAGCTTCTCTCTTGCTTATGCAAAATCCAAAGTGGATGCTCCTGGTCCAATAGCTATCCTCCAAAGAGTAGCTCAGGGACCCGGGCACCTGACTTCTTGTGGCACTGCCATCTTCTACACTGAGCCTCCAAGCTCCCCGTGGAGACCATGGAAAGGGACAAGAGAGTATGGGAAGGTCTACTAGATACACCAACACCTTGGTCCAGAAGTGACAGGCATCACTTGTACTTGTATTTCATTGGCCAGAACAAGTTATCTGTCCCACTGAAACTCCAAGGATGCTGAAAAAAATGTAGTTCTCGCTTCCCAGCAACAACTAGAAGCAGGAATCGCCTGGTCACCTAGCTATCTCTGCCACACTTTGTCTTCTACAAGCCAGCCAGAAAAGGGGTATCATCAGGATAGAACAAAGGCAAATAACTCAGCTGGAGGATGAAGCCCTGGTTTGGGTCTTTTTATCAATGTTCAGGAAACACAAGGATTTCCTGTTGTAGGTGGCAATACCTCACAACTTTTCAAACCACTGTGAACATAATTGAAGACGAAGTTCCGAAGTTGGGCCCCTAGGTGAGGAAAGTAGCATTTAAATGAGGCTCAGAGAGGAGGGGAGTTAGGCAGAGCCAGTCACCACAGGCAGGGGAAGATAACCTACACTCCAGGGTAGTTAGGAACAGGGTTCGATTAAAGGGGCTGTTCTTGACATTTGAGTAGTTACTAGCTAAGGCAAAAAGGCTGCAAATAGCATATAGGTGGAGGCCCTGAGATCGGTCATTAACTAACTACCACACTAAATGGAGAGTAAACCGACATCAATAATACGGTGCCCTCCCAGGAGATAAATGCATTGTATTCTACTGGACCAGATCTCAGTTTAATATTTGATAGCATGGTAAGTATATTCAATCATAGCATCCTGGGAGAATAGAGCTTCCATGGTCAGGTATTTGGGAAAGTACGAGACAGAGTTAGACAGGTTTCCTTCCTGCAGGATGTCTCAGTCTTTGATAGGTTCACAAGCCCTGAGAACCTGCAGGAGGGAGACACAGCATGCAACTTGAACAGGAAGAGGAGGCTGCTCTGTGTAAATACCCTCCACACACACAGTAAGTTAGCTGAAGCCGTGATTACGAATTCTGTTCAAGTGGAGTAACGGCATTTCAACAAAAGGAGTCAAGGCATATCCAGAAGAAGGGGGTTCTTCTAAAAAAGAAAAAAAAGACATGTTTCATTCTCCAAATACTGGAAGTAACCGAGTGATTGACCCTCACTTGCTGAATTTAATAGTTCTACCAAATTCAAGATTCTCATCTTTGAAGATGGATGATGGATGCTAAAAAACAATAAAAGAAAAGCTGTTACTTCTATGGGCTGAGGGCACACAGAGAGATGGCCACCGCCTCTGCTAAAAGTGAATGAGACATCCCTCAAAAAATTAAACATAGAATTACCATATGATCCAGCAATTCCACATCTGGGTATCCACCCAAACAGTGAAAGCAGAGACTCCAACAGATATTTGTACACCATGGTGATTACAGAATTATTCACAATAATGTGAAGGTGGAAACAGCCCAAATGCCCAGGGGTTAACATAATGGTATATGCATACAATGGAGTACCATTTAGCCTTAAAAAGGGCATTCCGACACATGCTACAACATGGATGAGCCTTCAAGACATTACGCTAAGTGAAATAAGCCAGACACAAAAAGACAAATACTGTATGATTCTACTTATATGAAGGATCTAGAACAGGCAAATTCATATAGACAGAAAGCTGAGTGGTGGTCACCAGGGGCTGCAGGCAGGGAGGAATGGCAAGTTATTGTTAAGGGGTGCAGAGTCTCTGTTTGGGATGATGAAATCATTCTGGAAATGGATATTGGTGATGATTGCACGACAGTGCACACGTAGTTAATGCCACTGAAATACACACTTAAAATGGTTAAAACGGCAAATTTTATGTTATGTATATTTTACCACAATTAAAAAAAAAGCCAATGAGCTGCTCCCCCCACCTCCACCCCCCTCGCGGCCCATGGCAGTTTTCTTTCACAGCAGCTTCCACTTTACTCGCTTAGGGTGAAGGCCTGCCTGGGGCTCTCCTGCAGCCTATCAAGTCACCCAGGCACTGGGCGACATGTAATCTCCGATTTAGACCCACACAAGACCACATAAACCTGCACACGGAGATGGAAAGCACAAACCACCCCAGCCCCGACTTGTTAAGAGAACAGGAGATAGGAAGTGGTTAAGTTTCACATCTATGATCCTCCCTAAAACACGTTTGGGGCAATTCAATAGTTCCCCTCTCCCACAAGCATTTTTCTAGAATAGCACTGTCTGGTGGGACCTTCTGTGATGAGGAAAATGCTCTCTTCACTGTGCCTGTTGAGCACTTGAAATGTGCCTTGTGCAAATAGGGAACTAGCTTTATTTGATCACATTTTAACTAGTGTAAGTGTAAATAGCCACTTGTGGTGAGTGCCTACCATACTGGACAGTGGTTTTAGAACTTTTACAAAGAAGCCGAAGTGACAGATTGGTATCTTTTGGGTGGCGATGCCAAAAAACTGAGTGGTAGAGATCAGGGAGTCACGAGAGGTAGTGGGGAGGGGGTATCATCTGTTTAGTCCATAAACCCACTTATTGGAGATGTGTATAGACTTTATCAAACCTACGAACAGAACCTTAGTTAAAATGATCTGAGAAATGATCTATTCAAGACCAGGCCAAGGTCAGCCAAAGGAGGTACATGGTGCAATAAAAAATTCTGGGCAATCTGGACACAGAGCAAGAACAGGTGAAGTGCCTGTTGCATACCTCTGGAAAGCCCAAGATTTCTGATTGAGCCTTCAACACCCAACCAGAAGGAAGGGTCCTGTTAGGAGAGGAAGGCTTGTTACCCACACACAAACCACGCCATCCCAGAGATGCAAAGCCATAGCATACCAATTTTTCAGAGCTGGTACCAGGAGGCAGGAGGCTACAGTGGTGCCTAATGGCAAAAGAGACATTTAGCGATTCAGAAAAGCGTTTGTTCCAACTCCAATTTTGATGGAGAATGCAGAGAAACTCGAGAAAACCAAGTGGGCAAGGGGTTGCAGGTGAAGTGGACTCCTGAACAACTTTTTCAAAAGATGTTGTTTTAAAGAATGGTCAGAAATATCAAGACTGTTTTCCACCAGCCCAGCTGCGACTTGTTTGAACAAGCCTGACACCCCACCCCCCTTCCAGCTGGTGAGGATTTGCTCTGCAGAAAACAGATCAGTGTACCTTGGGCAAAGGATGAACGGTGATAAACCTGGCTTACTACTTCAGGATGGTGTGGCAGGTGTATTAAAGAAACTCCCGGTTTACCTTCTCATACACTTCCAGGCTTAGGGTAGGCACTGTTACTCTTTTGACCAGCAGAGAAACCAAGGCACAAGGATTCCCAGGTAATCACTGTCTCAAAAGCAATGCTTAAGAAAGTCAACCAAATGTCAGAGGCTTGTCACATAGATCCGAAAGGGTTGGTAAGGAAAAGGGCCAAGCAACAGTCCGTTTCACACCTGGAGAAACTCTTGCCAACCAAAGGTATTGCTTTTAAGGCTGGGTTTTATGGCACACTTATTACAACGAGCTTAGAGACCTAGAGTTCTCTAGGAGGAAACCCTGATCTCCGAATGCTTGTGCATTATGGGATAAACTCTGTCACACTGGTGGTAGAGTACAGTCCTACCGTCAATGTATGCTGGGGACAGAAATTAAAGTGTGCAGAAGAACACTGGGGCATTTCTAAGAGGCACCCCCCGTCCCCCCTCTCAATTGTAACACAGCGATTCCCACTCTGGCTGAGAATGGAGTCATTTGGGAAGCATTAAACAGTCCCAGGCCTGGGATGCTGAAGGCATGGGTCTGGGATACAGGCTGGGCACCGGGCATTTTAGAAGCTCCTCAGGTGATTCTCATGTGTAGTCAGTGTGGGGACCTACTGCAGTAAGGGACACGCAGGAGTGAGAAAGTAAAAGTTGTGGTTAAGAGCCCGCTCAAGAGTGCAAGCTCAGAGTAATAGGGTCGCCGGATCGATTCCCGCCTGAGCTGAGCGGCCAACAGGTGGCAGGATGGCTCAGCTAGGAAAAATAAAGTAAAAGTTGGATAACTGGTGGGGAGAGGTGCTCAGTATAATCTGGGTTATAGGCTGTTTCTTGGGTCACCTGATATTTAAGGAGACTGGAGCATAATAAACAGGTGTAAATGACGGCGGCCTCTGTTTTACCGCCCGTAAAAAGGTAAAATGGCTACCCACTCTCCCCTCCCCCAAAGGTCGGGCGTGCCGTCGGAAGAGTCAGGAAGCGCTAGGATGGGGAGGAACCCGCCTCGGCGTGCGTGTGTGAGGGTAAGGAAAGCGGGCAGGAGTGGGATGGGGGTGAAGCGGGCAACTGCCTTACCTGCGCTGTAGAAGGCGTCGAGCGAGGCCGTCTTTCCAATATCGAGCTCCCGGAAGGGCACGAAGGTGAGGCGAGCGCCCTCAGCCTCACAGGCCCGCAGCAGGCACTGTCGCGCCCCCACCTCAGGGCCGCCGGCAGCGCCGCCCTGCGGGTTCTCGCCACACAGGTATACCACCCTCAGAGGCCGCCGCGGCCCGCCTTCAGCCGCCGCGCTCTCGGCCGACCCGTCGGGCCCCGCCGGCCCGTCGGGCCCCTCCGGCCCCGCCAGCCTTGCCGCGCCCTCTTCCTCAGGCGGCAGCGGCCACCGTGGGGACTCGGTCGCCTCCCCGAGAGCGCCGGCCGGGAGAATCCCCCCGTCGCTCTCCATGTGGCCGCTCCGCGCTAGTGCCTGGCGGCTGCGCTTGACTAAAAGATCACAAGCGGTCCCGGCACCTGCTCCTGAGGCGCGGGAGGCGAGACGCGGACCAGCGTGTGGTAGCGGCCCCGCGGCGCGCAGGTGATAGCGGGACCCCTGGCTCGCAGGCGGAAGCTCGCGACCCACTGCCCCTCAGCGCCCTTTGAAGGCGGGAGAAAAAGAGGCGGGGGCTAAGGACGTCAGGGGGGAGCGGAGGGCGCGGGGAGGTCTGGGAGGGGCGGCGGGGCAGGAGCCCGTAGGGCGCCCCCTAGAGCCTCCCCCAGGCAGCGCCCTCAGGAGAGCGGATTGATGAATTCCCAGATTTTGTTGTTGCCATCTCCCCAGTCTGACCAACTTTTTTCTCAAAACAATTTGAGGCTTTTCAAGCAGACTAAAAAAAATCTCGCAAAGCGCTGGTGAGGTGTAAACTATTCAATTCCAAACTAAATAGAGATGTAGTTTTAATCCAGATTTGAGATGAGAAGGCGCTTACTTTAAAACACCTCTGATTTTGTATTCTTTATCCCCAGTCACTAACAGCACGGTCCTCCTGAGTACAGTCCTGGAGGCCTGCTCGTCCTTTTACTGTGAACTTGACAAAGCACCGGGGCGGAATAGCAACGCATTTTATTTGCCTGGAAAATAGACTCCGAGTAGGCTGTCTGTTCCACCTATGAAATGTTATGAACCCACATGAATCTTTACTCAGGATCTTACCTCACGATCGTAGGCCCACCTATTAAGAAGTACAATAGTATTACTACTGCAGATAGTACTTATATTCAAAAGATAAGATGCACTGGACATTATCATGAGGTTTTTTGTTTTTCATATTAAATAAGTTTTATTAAGATATGATTCACAAAACATCCAATTCACCCATTTAAGTGGTTTCTAGTATATTGAGAGTTGAGCAGCCATCACAATCAGTTCTAGAACATTTTCATCACCTATCCCCAAAAAAACTAGTACCCATTAGCAGTCAGTCTCCACCCACCCCTCCCCCAACACCCCTCAGCCCTAGGCAACCACCAATCTATTATACTTTCTGTCTCTATAGATTTGCCTATTCTGGACATTTCATATACATAAAACCATACAATGTGTGGACAGAGGTTTTCATTTGTCATTGGGTATATACCTAGGCATAGGATTTCTGGGTCATATGGCAACTCTATTATTTAGCCTTTGGAGAAAGTGCCAGTGTTTTCCAAAGTGGCTCCACTATTTTACATTCTCACCAGGAGGGTACAAGTGCTCCAATTTCTCCACATCCTCACCAACACTTGTTATTCTTTTTTATTATAGCCATCCTAGTAGGCGTGAAGTGATGTCTCTTTGTGGTTTTATCTCATTGTGGTTTTTATCTGAGACAGATCCTGCCTCAGCTTTATTTCCATAAATAGCACAGGAGGAAACCAGCCCCATGCAGATAACAGCCCGAGGGTCACACCAGTCCTTCCATCCTCACATCTGCAGACAGAGGCCTCTACTCTGGAGCCTTCATGAGAGCCTGGGCACCTTTGGGAGCTGGAGCCTGGGCACCTTTGGGAGCCAGAGCCTGGGCACCTTTGGGAGCCGGAGCCTGGGCACCTTTGGGAGCCAGAGCCTGAGCTGGAGGCAGAGCTGCAGCTGCAGGCGTGGCAGGGGCCTTGGTTTGAGCCTTGGCCTTTGGCCAGCAGAGCCTGAGACCTGTGGCAATGCGGGCGCGGGCACGTTTCCCAACCTTGGGGTGGGCGATGTAGGCAAGTGGACTGAGCTTGCGGCTGCCGCCCTTTGGGATCTTGGGCTTGACCTCCTTGGGCTTTGCGAGGGCCTTGATGGCCTCAGCCCGTGCACTCATGGCCTTGGCGATGTTGGCTTGCATCTTCTTCAGCCCCTTTTTGTTGTGCTTCTTGGCAAAGCGCATGTTCCGCAGGAACTTGGGGTCCACCCCCTTAGAGATTCACATCTTTGTGATCGGGCTTTCTTGATGCCATTTCTGTGCCATTTTTGGGACTGGTTATGTGTGGTATGGTTCTTGGACTTGGCCATGTCTGCACCCAAGCCCACAGCTCCCAAACCCCAGGACCGGAAGCTCATTGTGGTTTTGATTTGCATTTCCCTGAGGATTAATGCTATTGAGCATCTTGTCATGTGCTTATTTGCTATTTATATAACGTCTAAATGTCCATTCGGATCCTTTGCCCCAAAACTGGGTATTTGTCTTTTTATTATTGAGTTGTTAAAGTTCTTCATATATTGTGGATACAAGTCTCTTATCAGATATGTGATTTACAAATATTTTCTCCCACTCTGTGGGTTGTCTTTTCACTTTCTTCATGGTGTCTTTCGTAGCACACCACAAGCCATTTTGACACAGTCCGGATAGGATTTACCTTATAAAACAACATCTGGCTTTTCTTCATGTTTCAGTGATAATACAGTCCATTCCTCCACCACACCCCCAAAAGAAAGCAGAAACTGCTAGTATAAATCTTTGAAGAAATCCTGCCCTAATTCCAGTCCTGGTAGAAATTAAGAACTTCACAAATGACATCAATGTGCACCCTCTTTTGTGGCCAATGAATGCAAAATGGGCTCTGAGGAAATCTGTAAAAACATACAGACGAGAATTGGGAAGAGGAAAGCTAGGGGAAACTTTCAACACCTCTGTTCTAAGATTTTTTTTTTGGATATGATGCTATAAAGGACACATTTTTTTTGTAACCTTGTAATGCAAAATAATAGTAATTTTCCTAATGTGCCTGTTCATTGGAGATTATTCCAATGAGTGGTTCGGCCTTCAGAAGGGCAAAAATGCCCATTTTACAAGCACTTGCCAGTGTCTTGCTGTTACACCCACTTCAATCATCCCGTGTTCCTTCCATCTCTCACTGGGGAGCTGCTGACTGAATAAGACACACAGGAGCTGTTAGTTCTCTTGAATAATATCCTCTTCGAAACACAAATCCTGCTGAGTGAAGAGCCCAGCATTTACCCAGCTAACAAGCACCTTCCCTGTAGGTGGCGTTGGAGCACACGGCCCACCTCTCCAGTAGTCATTTGCACACCTGAAACATGCCCCAGCCCCTTCTCTCTCTGTCCTTCCTACCACTGAGGAGAAAATGGCAAAATGCCGGATTAGTCTTTTCGATTTAGTTGAACAATTATTCTGTTCTGACCCCTTACTAAGCGTACTTTCCGGAAAGCACTTGGCCCCAACACAGAGGTGTCATCTGGACTGGAACAGTGGATTGATGGGGAGAGTGGAGGCACTGTAGCTAAAGAGTAAGATTAAATCTAGGCATTTTCCTTGTCTCCTTTCTTTTCTTTTAGGCTGGTTATTCATACCAACCGTGGTCAAACTAGTTAGTTTTTTGGCTCTTCAACCTTGTAAAAAATATTTCAGTTGCCATTCGTGTCAGCGTGCTTTTTTCGTTGTACCCAAGGGCCAAGAGCAAATAGGGACAAAAGGGAAACAACCACGTTGCACAATATTACATGTATTTGGTAGAAAAACTTTAAGATATATTGCAAGTCAACAAGGATTTATTGAGCACCTATTATGTGTCAGGCACTGTCCTGATGCTCAGGTTATCATAATATCATAGTGAACAATACAGCCAAAGTCCCTGCTGTCATGTTAGATACAGATACTGACAGAGAGAGAGAGAGAGAGAGAGAGAGAGAGAGATGGCTATAGACAGACATACCTGTGTATAGATGCTATAAGTATTGTATGGACATAGATTATTGTAATATGCCATAAAATAGAAGAAAAACAAACAGGATGGATGGAACTCGTAAGAACTATTAAGCACAGATTGTATGTAAAATACTAGCTTATGAAATACAAGTGAAATTCATAGGATGTTTTTAGTATACATAATGAGTAAGCAAGCATTCGTAGCTTGTGAGAAAAAGATGGACTTCAGAAGATGTATTCAAAATTGTAAGTTATTTTCCCCTAAGACATGCTACAGGTGGAATATAGGATAGAGCAAAAAAAAGTGTTACCTATAGATAGGTAGGAATGGAAAGGCCAAGTCATTAGGCACGAGCATGCAATCTCTGAACTGACAGTTTTGTTACCCCTAAAATCAACCACCCACTGGTGACACCCAGTACAGTCCCATTCTTGTCCCACTTGTACCTTCTACCTTCTTCAACATATGGAATACAGTTAAAGTAACTGTTTGAATGTCCCTGTCTTCTAATACTATTATCTATTTTATTCCTGGATGTTTCTAATGATTTTTCTCCTGATCGTAGGTCATATTTTCCTGCTTCTTTGCATGCCTGGCCTCTCTGATGAGGTGACATTTGAGCAGTGACTAGCCAGAAAGAAGAGATCCACACCTGATCACCACCAAGGTTTAGGAGAATACAACCTTAGGGGCAGATGGGCCGTTAGTCATGTTTGTATACTAATGTTAATTCAACTATGTTTATTACCAGGTAAAAATTATTTTTGCTAAAAATCTCAGGTAATTCACACTCACTCTCCACTGCTAGGAATCATCTTAAGGGTAAATCAGAAATGTGGACATAGATTCATGCCCAGAGATGTTCATCACAGCTTTATAACATAAAAAATTGGAATTAACCAAAATACCCTTCTTTCCCTGACCTCCCCACCCTCAAGGCTCCATCGCTACCTCTCCTCCGCAATTTCAAAGCCCCTGGACTTCATCCTGCTCATGTTCTCAGACTGTGGAAGACTTGCCTGCTTACCTGTCTTCTTACCCCCATTTGCGCTCCATGAGGACAGGAGCATGTTGCATTCAGCGCCTATCATCGTGTCTGGCACATCGTAAGAAACACATTCAAGAAAGACTGGTTAAATGCTCTCTGGCGTATCTGTAGGCCGAATATTACACAGCCATTCTAAATCATGTTTGTGAAAAAAAAATCAATGACAAAGAAATGATAATACTAAGTAGAAAAAGCAGATTACAAAACTATATGCACAGAATAACCTCCATTATGAG